GACAAAATTACTAGTCTTCTTAATGAGTATGCTTTCGAGACTATCAGATGATTTCAAATTAGAACTGTGGTATTTTTTTCGCTACGATATTCACGGCCCGTGTTTGATTCCAATATGAGTGCTGATAAGATACTGGTGAGATTTAAAGTGCTGTACTCCCTTCTGGTATGAGAGTATAAGTGGAATTCATCAATGTCGTATGCCTACTTATAAAATTTCGGAAAATCTTTTTAATAGGTTGTTCATAAAACTTGAGGGGCTTATGATGACTAAAGATTTTTTTACTCCAATGCCTCCACAGCCAGATTCTTGTGTTTCTAAAATTTATTTCGGTTGAAGCCAATTATAATAATTATAATAAACTATAGAATAGGTTATAGCAGATTTATCATTTTCGTGAGGTACAAAACTGGCACAAACCTTACCAACTAGATCTTTTAGGAGACTTTATGAAATATTTGTTCGCTGATAAATAAATATCTTACACTCTATTATCTTATTTAGTAAGAAGCGACATGTTTTCAGCCCTTGGAAATTAAGACATATAAACCGACCTAGCTCACTTAATATTAATAAATGACACGTCGGAATGAAACATCATAAAGCCTGATAGCTGACCTTCCAACAGTAGATTAAAAATATTTCTTGATTTTGCCAGCATATTTGTCCATAAAGCCATTAAAGGCTAATGAAATTGTTCCTCTGTACCAACCAGGACTTTTATTTCCTATAGGATGCAGTGTATATCTGTTAATAGGACCAATTTTAGTGACAGAATCTTTGTTTTAAGATGCATATCCTCTTGAGGCCAGTCCTTTGAATACACGTCTCGCAACAACAATCCAAACTATTTGCATTTATGAAGCACCTTGTTTTCCAATCATAAAAGGTTTTGAATGCTGTTCAATCGACCAAAAATCTGGGAAAGTAGTCAATAAGTCCGAGAATATGTTTACAGCCCTTGTTATTACCCATACTTTATATATGTTGTGACATATATCTAGAAAAATTTTCAATTTAGCTCAAAATTCTCTTCAAGTAAAATGTGGAAAATGAATTTTTAGATTTAATGATCAAATATTGTACTTTATACTAAGATACGAATGCCTTTCTAAATCTGTCCTTCTACCAATAAATTAATATAGATTATTATTCAATAGGTTTCTCTATAATTATCTAGTTTATTTAATAAACCATGTCTAACTTGCATTAATTTTTATTTTTATCCAACTACTATACAATGATTTATCTTTTACACTTAAGAGTAGAAAGTCAAGCATTGGATTTCATTAGTGATCATTTGGAATATTGCAGAAGCCGTGGCTAGAGATTATGTTGCTTGACTATCCATTCAGCATAAATTTATTTTACCTCTTCTTAAGCCTTTTTCAAGCAAGTTTCAATATTTTCGTTAAAGCCAAATGCCAAAGAACCTCCGATTGATTTTTTCATAATGGAAACTCATAGCTCGATAAAATCGATAGCAAGCAATAAATCATATAACTACTAATAATATAGATAATAAGAATAAAAAAGGATTGATAACACTCATTCTTATTAAGTGAATTGTAAGAGACAGCTTGTAAATAATAGCTTAATGTATAAGTTTAGCTCTCTCATTGTTAACAAATTGCATAAACAATAAGGAAGGTGCGTCCAATTAAGCAATTTATAAAGCTCTAATATCTAAGCAGATCTGGAGGATATGAACTTTGCACTTTTAGAATGCAGAGATATCCATATTCTTAAATTATTTAAAATAGTTCCGCGGACCTACATGCAACCGGTATAATACCTACTTCTCTATTGAATAGCAAGTATATTAGAAGAAGTCAACAATATATTGGACTTCTAAATGGATAAACGGACGTCTTTGTTGGTTTTAAGGCTTGTAAGATTGAAAAGGCATAATACATCTATTTTGAATGAATTCTTGATAGATTTTTATGGGATGAATTGATAGGTTTTGCAATATAACCGACACAATCTGCCGCATATGAAAATAGAGGCGGCTAATTGATGATTATTCCTAAGTTATTAGAACTGGGAGGGAACTCCACTCATTACTCGTGTTAAGTAAAATGTCTTGGACCATGAAATGATAGAAGGTGAGGAGGCTTTGTTTTTTGTCATCGGGAAATTAGTTTGTCTTTGATTTAGCTAAATTAATGAGTAATTAAACGTGGATCAATTGGGAAATATGAGTGGAGTACATCCGAATCGCAGTACTGTCTTTTTTGAGGGTTACTTTTTTCGTTTTATTGATATATGAGTTGGACATAGAAATCACATATATATATTTTGATAGTCTTGTCTGGTAATTAAATCAAGGGTACCTTGCAAAATATAAGGATAGATGACGACTGAGCTATTTGTCTAAAGTATCAGGAAATCAAAAATGAGTTACTTTTAATGTTCCCAATTATTTTATCACATTGTACTAAGACTGAGTGTCATTAATGATGTTATATGATAGAAATGTGAATTTAAGACTATTTGCATAGCCTCACTCAATTTTATTAATTTACAGTCCGTACTAGATCCAGCCGACGAAGTCGCTACACTCATAGCTGCCGCAGTTCATGACCTTGATCATCCCGCGCGAACAAATCCGTTTCTTGTAAATAGCAGACATGCCTTGGCTATTTTATACAATGACATGTGAGTTGGCTGTTTAAAAAGTGAGAGAGACCATTAGAGCTCTGGCTCACAACCCATCGCATTTAGAGTTAGAATAAGCATATACAATGAAGATATTTAAAAAAATTGGGGTTTGAAGAACTCGTTTGTGGTTTATTGCGATTTAAGTAGTTTTTAATCAGAATACGCCTAAAAATCAAATAATCTTCACCTTTACTTTTAATCAAGATATCTATAATTTGATGCTTTAAGTAGAAATAACTCTTGTAAAAATGAAACGTTTATTAAATTATTTATGCCTGATATTAGACCTTATGTTGTCTATTTGATAAGTAGTAACTCTGATCTAAAGGTTGCTTTTCTTAATAATAATTTCTATTACGATGCCTAAGAAATGTCTGAGCATGCACAACTTAAACAGTTCAATGCTGGAAATTATAATTAATGCTATGATGGAGAACGCAGGACTGGGTAGGTTATGTGTGGGTTTATTACACAGTGTATTCCTATCGCTCTGAGCAAGTTGCAAAAACGGGATAAACCCAACGATACACAGTTTAATCAAACTATGGCCAAACCTAAGGCCACACAACCTTCATTTTAAAATTAAACTATAAATCCTTATTTCGCTCTACATGAATCCTCTACTTTATGCTACAGCCTATAACATAATTTTTTGCCGTGTTTTAAAATGTAAGAATATGTCAACCGAAATTATGAATATCCAAGACGTTTAATTCCTTTTAACTGACTGAATTTTATTGCATTATATTACCTCTTAATATACTATAAAGCGCATTACCACGCACAATATAAAGTCAGCGTTCTATAAGCAAAATATTATATTAAGTAATAACATGTTAGAGCTTGGTAGAAGTTACAGTGTTCGACTACATTGGGAGCCATACTAAAAAAAGAACATTTTTTTGCTTTTACATAGAAATCACTTACTTCAGAGCGTGAGATAATAAGAAATCCATTAATTGTGGCTGAGCAATAAATATCCCCAGCTTTAGTTAATAAATGAGCAAAATAGTAGTTTTTTACTTTTTTATAGGATTTTTAGCTTGTTTTGATCTCCGAATATAAAGTTTGTCTTTAAATAAAACATAGCAAAAAATAGAATATTCTATCGCAAATATTAATAAATGAATGTGCTTTTATTTTCATACTCTTAATAGCTGTCATATAATTGCAATTATATTGGGTTGCTCCTTGTTGCATTAATCGATATTTACTAGGGTGTTTTCTTCTTAATAATATATTTAATTTGTTAGGGGCACTTTTAGTTCGCATAAAAGTGAATTAAGAAGAGATTCGTTGGTGGATCTCAACAGATGAGAAGGGATGAATCTCGCTGTACTGCAGCCGTTTGGTTTTTATTAGATGTTCATGTTGACGCAGTCCACGAGACTTACTCTTCGATTCGAGTGAAAACACGCTGAGCTATCGTGCAGCATATGATGCACATCTTCAGAGCTGGGTGTCATTCTTGTAAGAGTCTCACGTTAACACTAAAGCAAGAACACTATCCGGCTCTATCTTACTTCTTATATTACTCAATCGAGGCAAAAAATTAAAAATTAGAAACCTAGATAGATTAATATAGAGTGGTTTAGTTAATTTTCTTTCATAAAGATTATGTTATTATTGCTCGATTGTATGAGTATGCATATTTGTGTATGTTTTCATCTATATGCAATACGGTTCCTAAATCAGAGTTGTCAAAGTTTTCCTCTCAGGTTCTGAACCTCAAGACCTAATGACCCAAGAAAAGGCCTTGACCGAGAATTCGTAGGTCCCTAAACAGGTATGGTTGAGAAGATGAGATATGAGCTTGTAATCATGATAATAAAGTTGTGAAACCATTTGTCTTAACCTTTCAGTCTAGAGTAATTCACGTTTAACTTTCCAAGGAAAGGCAAGACCGGGGTTGCGTAATCTGGAATTTCTGATTTGGTTGCTGAGCTTACTCTAACATTATGGAAAAATTTGAGTGAAATCAGAACCATCACTAAGCAGATAAATTGAGTCGCTATGATACAAACTCTGGAGGAACATCCAGAGATAAAAGAAGGAATAAGAATGAGTGTAGCTTCCACTATTAGACTTATAAATCTATCCATGAGTACAAGGATTATCGATGGGATATTGCCTGTCTCCCATCTTACCGAACAATTATATGACAAGAGTTGAGGAAGACTTTCTGAAACAGACAATACTAGCCCCCAAATCGTTGGTTAGATAAATGGATGACTATTTTTCCATCTGGCCTCATGGTAAGGACGATTTAGATAATTTCTTACTTTCACTCAACCAGAGTGAAGGGAACATTGGGTTCACGATTGAAATGGAAGAGAATAAGTCCTTACCTTTTCTGGACGTTCTCATCATTAGAGAAGAGAGTAAGTTAAGAATAAATGTTTATAGGAAGCCAACATATGTTGGTTCTTTGATTAATTTTCTTTCCAACTATAGTTACAAGTCTAAGGTTAGAATTTTAAAGAAAATGATTCATAGAATTATGAGGCTAGCGGATAGCAAACATGTAACTAAAGAGTTCCAATGGCTGAGAAATATATTCCTGAAAATAATTATTCTTTGGGCCTTAATGAGAATAATATCTCTCTACTGAGAAAAAAATTTTCAGACGCAGACCTTTTCGTCAAAGAGAGACAGAATGAGACCTTTTCCAATGTACTAATTTTGCCATCCTGCCTTCTCTCAAAAAAGGCGAATTAGTGAAAAAGTGGGGCATAAAAACAGTACTCTTAGAAACCCTCACACTTTCTTCTGTTATGCCATCATTTAGAGAGAAATATGACCCCTTATCGAGATCCGGCTGCTACATAATTGTTTGAGCATGTAGTCGATGTTATGTTGGTGAGACTTGCTGACCTGTTCGACAAAGATTAGGATAACACAAAAATGCTTGAGAAGGTGGCTGGATCCAACGGTTAGAAGTGGCCGAACACATGGTAGATACGGAACATGAAATAAAATGGTCTCAAACTAGTAGGTTTACTGATTATGGTACGTCTGTGGTTAAAAGAAAGATAAGAGCGACTATTGAAATTGATAACTTAGGAAATATACTAAATGTGAAGAATGGTGGTAGAAAGTTGAGTAGGAACTACTTATGCTTGATTTATTGATTGAAAGAGAGAGAAGTTGTTGGGCCGCCGTAAAAAGAAGGTGACTCAATTTTTCTTCATTCACGCTCATCGAACATGTTAGAGTAAGCTCAGAAACCAAACCAGACATGCTAGATTACACAACCCTAGTCTTGCCTTTCCTTAGAGGTTTAAACGTAAATTACTCTAGACTGAAAGGTTAGGACAAATGGTTTCATAACTTTATTGTCATGCTTACAAGCTCATATCTCATCACCTCAACCATACTTGTTTAAGGACCTACGCAGTCTCGGTCGAGGCCTTCGCTTGTGTCATTAGGTCTTGAGGATCAGAAACTGAGATTAAAACTTTGACAACTCTGATTTAGGAACTATATTGCATATAGACGCTAACACGCCAAATACACATACTCATACAATAGACAAAAAAAACAGGACCACTTTAAAAGAAAATTAACCAAACCACTCTATATCAATCTATCTAGTTTTTTAATTTTTAATTTTTTTGGTCGATTGAGTCTATATAAGAATTAAGATAGAACCGGATAGTATTCTTGGTTTAGTGTTAACGTGAGACTATTACAAGAATGAAAATCAGCCCTGATGATGTCCATCGTATGCTGAACGAAATCTCCGCACGTTTTCACCAAAAACGAAGGAGGAAGTCTCGTAGACTGCGTCAAATTGAACATCTAATAAAAGCCAAACGTCTTTGGTACAACGAGATTCATTCGTCATCATCTGGTGAGATCGATCAACGAATCTATTCTTCATTCACTTTCATGCGAACTGAAAGTCCACCTAATAATATTATCTCAAAAGATTCATCAAAACCCAGTTTCTCTTCTTATTCAAATTGTGTAATAAACCTTTCAGTACGTGATAAATTAATGCCCCTTAAACTGTGCCCTAAGTACTTAACTAGAGAGGAAGACTATGTTTTGTTAATTATTTATTTAACTACATACCCTTATAACTTGAAGTAGATGTCGCTTATTACAACTATACCAAACTAGGCCAAGTCTGCAGTCCAGCTTTAGATGCAGGGCAAGTTAGGAACAAGTCATACAACAAAGGATACTTTTAAATGAGTAAGCTAGTAATAGGTTCCCAATTGTAAAACGATAATAGGCAAAATATTTACTATTACAATAGATTTACCATCTTGATAGGTCAAATCATGAAATTATAGCGATACTAAAGTAGAACATTCGCTTACCACTAACACAACTTGGAGGTTAGCCCATCGAATATTTCCCTTTAGATCTTTAACTGGGGTCCACTAATATATTGTTAACATTCTAGCCTTAAAGTCGCCTGCAAATAATTTGGCCATATGATTCGCTCTACATTAGCTCAGCATCAATGGAAAATGCTATGAATATATTTATAATCATCAAGATTGTCAGATTATTTGCTGCTATAAACCTGCAGATTTAGAAGACTCCTTATAGCAGTAAATATTATATGTTTAATTTACAATCTTAGAAAAGAAGCATTCATTAAGAAATAAGCTAAATACGATCAGATAAAATCATACTTTAGTAAAAGTATATGGGATACATTAAATCTATGAATTAAACTTCAGAACTAAAGGGGTTGGCGGAAAATTTCCTTTAGCTTAAATAAAGTTCATAGAATTAGGTGAAAGCTATAAATAGTCCTACTTTGAAAGAATTTTTTTCATAATTTTATTATTGTTTTGCTTTTATTTCAAAAATAAAGAATACATAAAACAGATCCGGTGGTTATATAATTTTTCTGAACCCCATAGTTGAAAAATTACCTTGGGCTGTAAAGTTAATCAAAACAAATCCATTACTTTATAATATCCTGAATTTCAGATCTCGTATAAATATACATTTAAATAAAACTTAAACAGGTTTATAAATGAAAACTAAATAAAAATATTAATTTAAACAATCGAGTAATGGAAATTTGGAATGCATTACTATTCATAATGTGCGATAATAAAATATTTGAATATTCTGTTCATCAGAGACTTTCGTTGGGAAGAGCTTTTTTAACATTACCTTTAGGATCAAATTCAATTCTAAAATACTTGTTTGTGCCAAAGTCAGATAACAAAGTAGTAGTACTAAACATTATTAATATAAGTAATTTGTATATAGTTATAAAGGCTGAGCTTACTTTTGTTTAATACAAAGCCCTTAAGTTACGACTTGATGCTATAAGAATTATTAAAATTTGATTAGAGATTTAATCAAGCGATAATAATTTCAAGTAATTGCAAGTCATTTTTAGTCTTAGTAACTGGATCGTGCCTTCTTCCTATCGCTATTAAAACTTTATGTGAAGAGGTAAACAAGGCAACCATTATACATGAATGCATATTGTATAGACTCTTGATGGAGAGGAAAAGAGTGTAGGGCTAACTCTCTTCTCTATCTGGTCTGTAACTATTTTAAAATATGAAAAAATTCCAGTTATAGTAAATTATTACTTATCACCTTGAAATTAGCAGATATTCGCATTTTAAATGTTAAAACTATTTTATTGGTTATTACTAATATTATAATTTTTAAATTTATATTTTTTATTAGTCCTTATATTGATGTTAGAATCTTGCTAAACAATTGATGCTAATCTTGAAGCACTCTAGCATCTAAAATAAGCAAAATTGTGGAATGCTCTTTAAAATACAAGTATGCCTAAACTGCGATGCCGTTATAAATTTTAGTGTGGCATAACTTTTCCTAAATTCCATAGGCTGTTTGACTAAGTGGCAAAGTCGCCATTGTCCTCTCGACGCACTATATAGTCCCTTTTGGTATGTCACGATGAGAGAATAGCTTAGATAATACTATATGAGTAAATATATATTTCTGGTTTTGCATAACTTTCTAGCTAAACGGCTTACTCAATATAAAATTCTCTTCTTACCTTGCTAAAATTCAGTATTAATTGGTTTATGATCGTTAGTCTTTGTTAAATCCATTATTTTATTTGCTTTCCTGATTATTTCCAGAGCCGTACTTGAGAGCCATCATGTTTGTTTGGCCTTTCAACTAACAAAAAGGGATGAAAGAGTAAACATTCTTCAGAATATAAGCACGTAAGCCATTTACGTATTACTTTATTTTACTTAAAGGAGAGTCGTAATTAAAACAATTCTATTTTATTTTTCTATTGAACTTCAGAGATGATTATAAAACTCTGCGAAAATTCATCATAGATATGGTTCTAGCTACAGAGATGGCTCGGCACTTTGAACACATGAACAAGTTTGTTACTAACATCGGCAAGCCACTATCGATGAAACATGAGGTGGGATGGCCCGATTTAATTTCTTGGATAAGACTTAAAATGATTGCTTATATATCATAACTTTTATGAAAAGAATTATTAACCGTTTGAAAAATTCTCCATGGTTTATTGCATATTCATTATTTTCTATAAGACTATGAATTACACTTATATATACACTATTTAGTTTGATGTATTGAATTTATTTATTCATTTGCCGTGTTTGTCCATTTTAATCCACCTTACCTTAAATTTCTTTTATAAAAATTATGTTGTTAATTTAATAATAAATAACATCTATATATTTTGATAATTAAGTATATGACTGGTCCTCACTACTTATTTCAATTCTGGTGCACACAAATAGATATAGCTATTGGAGCACGATCATATATGGCATCTATTACATTAGCTTGTAAGTTTTTGGATACCTTGATTCGATAAACGCCAAATACTACTCAAATTATATGAGCGATAGCTTATGCAAGCTAACTTTATATCACACATGTTATCGTAAATACAGCAACAGTAATTTTTTTTCTATGGTTTTAGGATCCTGACGATATCTCTACAGATAGTAGGTCCAGCTTGCAGTCTTCGACATCGTCAGCGGATGGCATAGCCTCACTTAATTGTAAAGATTTGACGCGGAAGATGAGCTCCCCTACTTTGGTTAGTCTGATACAAAACAACGTAGAAAACCGGGCTATCCTGAAGAGAATGCTAATCAAGTGTTCCGATGTCAATAACCCGACCAGGCCGCTGCAGCTCTGTAAAGAGTGGGCGGTCCGAATAGCAGAGGAATACTTTGCACAAGTACGAGTCCAGTAGCGTCTCTTGGCTTTCACTGTCGACCAATTAAAACATATTTATCTAGCTCATCATAGCATCAATTTAATTCATCTGCTTATAATTAGGAGATAGCATATATAATCAGATGAATTTGAGTTTTAAAAGTGTATATCAGTAGCATCAGTTTCAGCTGGTACCTAGGCAATAAATACTCGGTTTTTATTAATAAAGACATGCTCTTGGGTATAAATAAAGCTTAATACCAATTTTACGTTTAAGACTAGGATCAAATGATTTTCCTTTGCTGATATAGCTGGTAAAAGTAGGGTTATCTGGCGCATTTAAATCACAATTTAATACCAGTTTGTGGAGTTTAGGAAAATTATACCTGAATTGAATCCTTTTTGAATGCCTCCTAATATATATGAATCAAATCCAATGTAAGGTCATATTAATTACTCGAAATTAATTCAAATATTAGGTTGATAGTAATAGAATTTTGATGCACAAAATCTTTACCAGCTAGTTTAATTATACAATTAAAATTTGTTCAAGAGTTTTAGAAAGCATGTGTACAATTATAATATAATTTATTCAATTTTGGAAAGTAAAAGTGCAAATAAATGATGGCTGTGCTGCGCAAAAAATATTGCCTAATTGGTTAGATATGAAGAACAAGATGTTGTGGCCCTTATTTTGGCCACAGGCTCCTTTCGATTTATAAACTGGTCGACCACGATTTCGTAATTTTTCCATGGCGTCATTCGACCTATTTGGACGCACCCTGTTCTAATTCATCTGCTATAGTAGTTATGTTTAATTATCAGTGCTGGACCGTGGACTTGGTACATTCCCAGATATTTTGCCTGCATCATAGTCGGCATTGTCAGTGAGTATTGCCATACAAATCACCAAGCTATACCTCGTCAAAGAGGCTATAGAAGACAATCCCTTGACCATATTTCTGCCGAAATGGTTGTGCTTTTACTTCTCTTTCTGTTCTGGCACATCTGTTCACTCCCTACTCTCTTATCTCCCTCCAGCTTTATTAAAACGTATCACTTGTTTATATTCCACACCTCAAAATGTGTACCCTTTCGGGCAAGCTTAGTGTGGCGTCATCCCACCTGCTGTCTAGCTTGTCACAACCCTTCCGTTTTGATTTGCTGATCCGACTCGGTCCTCCTGTCCGGATCTCCTTCATAAGCCGGTAGATAGGTTCCTTATCTTTTTGATTGACATTTTACTCGAAATACTTTTTACTCTATCCGCTACTTCACAATTCTTTAGAGGTGCGCAACTGTCGCCTAGATCTAGGCTCTGATTCATATGCTTGGCGATATCAGGCATTGCCTTTATGGCGTAAATGTCTATGTCAAGTCTCTTGCTAAACCTCGAGAGGATTTCATGTCGAATAGGCCATAATGCCGAATTTATGTCGTTGTTGTGATTATGCGTTTCTTTAGACCTGTAACCGCCAGGCTCCCGAATTTTTTGTTGTTTATTTAAGTAGACTACATTCACTAAGAGTTTATTTGCTTGATTTTTGAAGATACATCCCCAATTCTTTTTTACGATCCGTTTGTCCTTGTTACAAGCATCTCCATTTTGCTGGTCTTACAAAATCCTTGTTTGCAACGAGTGTGTATAAGAAATAGGAAAAGATATCACTAGCTCTGCTCTTATAATCTGTCGTTATCAATTTTCCTCCAGAGACATTGATATTCCTTGATTACTATGCTTATTTTCTCCCTGTGTTGCCAATAAACTTATGTTTGCAATACTGAATGTTATGCGTACACACGTGAGCAATCAAATTTGTCTAATCTCTCATGTTGCATAAGGACAGTAGTAAGTAATATCGTTTTCTCCTTCGCAGTCACCTGGCTATTCCATTTTCCTAATATTGTCCATAGGATTTAAGTCAGCTCAAAGGAAGGTAGGGATTTCAATTTTGGGCCTCTATTCCTCCTTATTTTTCCTCCATAATCCCTGTCCTGACATCTGCTCTCAATTGCTCGTATGCTTACTTGTATTGATGCTCTCGAAGCTGACTCGAGAGTCATTAGAGTCCATTTGTCCAATTATAAATCCCAGAATTCTACATCCGTCAATCGTAAGCTTCTGATGAGCGGGGACGGGAACCAAGTGAAATCAGTCAACAAGTAGGATAGCAAACTAATATCCTAACCAACGAAGTATATTCTAATAGAAGTTCCGAGTCGGATCAACAAATCGAGTGCAAAAACAGCAGGTGAGATGAAATCACACTAAACCCGACAAGAAGGGCACACCTATTGAGTACTCAAATATGAAGATGTCATATGCTGTGATAGACTGGGAGGAAGAGGATTCATGGCATGACCGTTAGGGAGAAGGCTGCTGAAAGGGTTAATTTAACTTGTCTGTTTGACGAGATGTAGCTTGATACTGAGAATGGGAGGACTAACTGATATTAGTAAAACTAGTGTGATTTTCTTGGAAAGTATTTTAGTAGCTAAAATAACTTATACTAATGTTAGTAAGACATGTTAATTAAGCCTCATTAATGAGAGCAAGGAGTAGAACTCGACGTTAAAAAAACAAAATTCGTCGTGAACGATTTAGATCATTGTGTAGTTTAATATATTCTTCGTTGGTAGCTTGATAAGTAGGCCATGAAATATTGGGGTTTATTATGCAAATGCACCAAGGCTTAACCCAGCTTGACAATTATACAAGCTAAGTGAATTACTAGGAATGATACTTCAAGGAATAATTGTATGTTTCTGTATAGAAGCAAGAATCCCGACAATGCCCGAATCCTGGCCTATTTACCGTATAATATATAAACATATCTCATTTCTGAATGTATACAGAATGTCTTCTATAATTTAGTGACAACTCTAGCGAAATTCCAAACTTCTTATAGCATTAAATTTTGATACATTGGTAAAAAATAAGCTGGTTGCTCGCCAGCTTATTTCTAACCCATCCTTTTTCATAAGACATTGGTATTCACTTATTTTACATGTAACTTACTATTTATATTATTTTTATATGCTTTACAGACAGATGATGAAAAAAGAATCGGGTTGCCTGTTGTGATGCCTACATTTGATAGGCAAACATGTAATATTGCCAAATCGCAATTATCCTTTATAGATTTATTTCTAAAGGATATGTTCACAATGTGGCACGGTACGTTTGTTATACGAAATGAAATACTCGTAATCTTTTGTTTAATATTGCTATGTTGTTGAATTTTGCTATGCTAAGCGAATAAACAGGGCATAATTTAGTAATAGTTAGATGATGTAGAGTGGGCTAAATTTCTTAGCATTTAATTCAAGTCTAAATTTAGAGCTAGCCATAAGTAGATTAGTGCATATCTGCCTAATAAATATCATAATTAACTAAATATTCTTAACCATTAATATCAGATGTAGTCTCGAAACTCTGCATATATACGAAAAATACTTAAATATTTTTGTTTGCCTGAGAGTATTTTTACAATGTGTCAATTTTATCTGCAGTACTTAGCAGATTCTTTGCATATTCTACTGTTGTAATAATTCAATATCAAGGGCTGTTTCACATTCGTAAAGGGGTATATCGAACCTATTAAATATATTATATTATTTGAATAATGTTCTTTAAGAAAATATTTCCTTTTAGCTTGTGAAAAATAGGGTATATTATTTCAACGAATCCAGCTTACCTGACGAAACTTCATAAGCTTATGTCTGATTTAAAACATCATCAACAATCCTGATATTATAGTCGTTTCACCTTGTTTTCGCAACGTTGTCATATTTTTCGGAAGATCTAGAGGAAGGTACCTTGTCTAGGGTTTATAGTATCCATGATAATTTTCAGAGGCGGACCGTGGACTTGGTACACCCTCAGACGTTTCACAGACATCGGTGTCGGCATCGCCAGTGATCCTTGCCACACAACAATTTGTCAAAGTAACAGGTAAAGTCGATCCTTTGACAAATTGTCTGCTAAACAGTTGTGATATCTCTCCTTCTATCCTGGGGTATTCACCTGGTCTGGATTGTCAAGCTATCTGGGAGATTAGCTTGCGGCTATAGATATCTTTATCACCGTTTTACATGTCCACCGGGTAATTCTCACAGTCGAGCGTTTGCTTCACGGACCACGTCTATCATCGAGCACATCTAATGTTAGCCAACTAGATCTAGCTCCCATTGCATCTATCTTGCTTCTATCCATATTGCCAAGTAAATGACTTCCTATGCCCTAGTCTTTTGCGTGCCAACTTGATTTTATTAGGCTCACTGGAGACTTCTCCGCTTGGTTTCAAAATATTCCTTTTATGGTCTCCTTGCTATTTCTTTTTATAAAATTAGAGATTTTACCTTAATACAGTCGTCTTCTTTTTGCCAATATTACTGTCACCTGATCTTCTCCTAGTTTGCTTAGCAACATGCAAATTTTTTGTTGATCCTGCATTATTCAAGTATCCTGTAAATCAGATTTATTTTAGTCAGGATATCGATGGCCTTCTGGATCTTGCACTTTCTCGTATTTTCGTCTCCCTTCCTGGATACTAAAGGCATGCATTCCAACGGTACACTCATAAGGAGATTATTCAAAGAGAATTGATGTGCTGTAATAATCCTTAATTTTCAATCTAACCATAACTACGGGCTGAAGATCAGAATAATGTTGAGTTTGATCATCATAAGACTAAGACTAATGGACACTGAGTTCTGGCACGAGGAGTTTGACAAACATTCTCGGATTCGCCTTAGTACAGGGTACTGCAGAGAATCTATAGAAAGAATTGTAGGTTTCATAAAAAGCAGATTTCGAATCTGATTTTATGAAAATAAGATTAAGAATTGGGAAGACGACCGAAAGTGGATATGCCTGCCCGCCTGTGAGCTGAACTAAAAATCTCGGACGTTACTATCACAATTGAATATCGAGGTGTTATCAAAGGAGAAAACAACACTTTTAACCAGTCTGCCGATGCAACACGAGAAGATTGACAAACTGAATTGTTCAGGAGTTGATCCCATCGCATGTGGCAGCTGTGAGCAGAAGTATAGTGGTGAAACAGGAAGAAGAATCGGCAAGGAACTCCAAAGACTCTGCAGAAACGTGGATGCGGAAAGATCTGGAATAGCGGAAGAAATTACACAGACGGGAGATGAACTCGACTGTAAATCGACAGGATAGCTGACTTCATATGGTTAAAATACGAGAAATGGCAAGTCATAGACTTAACATTATGGATACACACACAATAGATGCAGCGGAGACTAAAGCTAGTTGGCTAACAGTAAACGTGTTTGATCATAAACGTAGTTGATGTAGCAAAGGCTTGATTATGAGAATTACCCGGTGCACATGTCGAACGGTGATAAAGGGATATATAGCCTTAAGTTAGTCTACCATTCAGACAGAGAATCAAGACTTTTGGTCTGCTTAGCAAGGCCATTAATAGTTTGAGACTTAGTGTGGAAAATAACGCCTCAAGTAGCACAGAAAGGATAGCAGTGGT